AATCTGATTGCATTCAGCAAGAGTCCTGGCATACCCTGAAAATTGGACTCCCCTAAAAGGTGACTCCCCAGTCAGATTCTCAGATTCCCCCATGGAGTCAGAATTTCATAATGAAATTTTGACTCCCCCCCCCCTCCACACACACACACACACACACACACACACACACACACACACACACACACACAAAACTTCATAAATCTAATTTTTTTTCAGCATATGACTTTTATCTTGTAGTATGCATAATGGAGGATGCTATTTTTATGTAGCACTGGCAGAGTTGGAACAATCGACCTAGTACAATAGTTTCATGGGAAATGCAGCCTGTATTAAGTGTCTGCCCATCCCTTCATGACTTGCTTGTCAGTACCTAATTATGTGTGCTAAAAATAAAGGACAAGATAAAAAATATGTGGAACATAATCTGGAATGTGTGGGTTTTCTAACTCTGTGTATTATTCAAGTATTTGATACTGATGCCACAGTGCTCTTTACTGATAGAATCACATATTTGCTGGTAGCATATTACCACTCTCTGTGGCAGATAAAAAAGATTGGAAATGTCAACCATGAATGTAATATAAGCCAGCTTTTCAAAAGTTTTGTGGCAAAATCAAATACTGAAGATAGGGTTTCAGGTTAACATATAATAATAGATAAAATGCAAACCATGAATCTTTATAGAACTAGGAGAGATAAATAACGGAATGATGTCCAACCAACTGTCTTCACCATTCTGTGCAGTGCTTCATGACAACTGCTTTATCTGACTTTAAAAGCCCCATATGGTTTAAACTGAAGACAATCAGTTGCACCGTGACCCATGCCACATTTGCTTGTGCTGTACGTGACTCTACATGGAGTAGAGCACGACGCAACCTTCTTCTGGCAAAAATAATTTTTTGCTAGAACCAATCGGAACCACAGTTTAACCATCAGTGCAGTTGAGATATCAGACAGGAGATGGAGGAGCTCTGTCTCCTGGGAAAACATGATGAAACACAGGTTGACATGCTGCAAGGTGTTCCTGAAGGTTTCAGTTACTTAGTCAATAAATTAATTGGGCATCACACACGTACTAATTATTGCCAGCATAAAGTGCCAGCTAGGCAAATACAAGTGATGATTATTTTATTATTTAGATGGCTATGGATTGAATAAGTTGAACCCATTTTAATTCTATGATGATTCACATATTTGTGCTATTATGTTGAAATTCAGGAAGTGGTATATTCATCAGGTCAGAGGTGTCAGACAAATTAATTTACTCCCTCACATTTTGTCAAGAAAAAAAAAATGAATGAATCATAGCCATTATTTGCTTTTTCTTTCTTTCTGTATTTTTAAAGAAAAATCATTGTAGATTTTCACCTTAAGATCGAGATTTCAGCATTGGGATGAAAGAGATACGAGTTTACAGTTTCCCAAGGCCATTTCCCATTTGTTTTCAGTGAAGCTCAAGTTTTGAAGTTGGAAGGCTTTCAGTAAAGGGAAAAACTGCATGATCAGGCCAGACTGCATAGACTTCATATTTTTACAAGGACAAAAATACATTTTGGACATTTCTCAATTTTGCCTGGCTTCATCCCTCTTCTCCAGTCAAACTGTAACGTTTCATCAATATGTACAGGGCACGTGATACCAGTAAATTCTATAGGATATAATATCCATTAGGAGACATGCTACTGGCTGCACTCAGGAAACCTGAAGAGCTAGAACACTATGGATTTTGATACATTTTTGTGATGAATGATACAGACAGACAGTTACCAGGACAATTGGGTTTTGTTTAATTCACACACAGAACATTTTTTTTTGTCAGTATGAACCCACACACCAACTACCAAGGCTAGGGTTGAACCCCCCCTCCCCCAGCCCACCCAAGGTTTGTTGGGGGGTGGGCAGGGGGGCTACAAAGAACTGTCCTTCTGGAAGGAAAATTCCCTGCTCTGAATCCCAGTTTTATCCAGGTGCTATGTCATTTCTCACCCAGGTAAAGGGGTAAAATGCCCACTGCTTTAGAAAAAAAAAAAACCATTCCCCTGTGACTTAAGTCTCTGGCTGCAGGCACATGATATATTTTGATAAAACAATATATGGCATATTCGATATTAACAGAATAGCTTCCAGTCAATACAGTTCAAGGTAACAGCCATATGTATGCTTTTGCCAGCTTTGGTGAATCTAACCTTTTATAGCTGTGAAAAATGAATATGTTTCAAGAGACTAAAACCTATTCTGGAGTGATAATACCTTCTCAAGTGCTGTATCATGTCTGTTTTTTTTTTCCTTCTCTCCCCCTGGGAACCTCGATCACTTCTGTATTCAAATGAACCCCTTTCATTTAGGAGATAGCTTTTTTTTATTGACCGGTTGGTGGATTACTGGAGGTCTTTCAGACCATGTTCACATTTGCCTGTGGACCCTGGTTTCACAAATTAATTACAAGTCAGTGGCCTTTGCTAAGCCTGCTAATCTCAGATAGTTGACTAGCTAAGACACCCCAGCTCAGGGATAGCATTCAACATGGTTTCATCTTCCCTGAAGATTTTCTCTCTTACGTCCCATTCCTATAGACACCATGGGTTTACGTACATTGATACAACTCTGCAGGGACTCTTGCTGAGTGCAATCAGCTGAACTGAATGATGTGCCTATTCCTGACGTTGAGTAGAACACAGAAAAGCTGGTGATTATACAAGTTCATTGGAAATTTCAAGAAGAGGAGTTTGTGTCATTCAGAAAAGCTGATTGCACTCAGCAAAAGTCTCCGCAGAGTTGGATCGATCTAGGTAGCTATGGGAATGGGATCTTAGATACAGTTGACATACTGAAAACATCATTGCATATATAAATCTAGTTCCATGAGAATGAAATTTGGGTATTCTAGTTTGATTTGAAACTGAAACTTGAGTAGAGGGACCGCCAAGGTTCTTTGTGAAGCACAGTATATGTTCAGTTTGGCTAGTCATCTATGGCCTATAGGTTCTTGCGAAACNGACTGGTGGCTGTGTTCCTTATTTTGTGTATGTGGGGGTCTGTACGAATGCGCTTGCTCCAGCTGGTGGTACAATATCTGGAGGCGGTATCGCCTCTCTGATCCTCTAGTTATGATTGGATCTTAATTATTGACTTCGTCATATAATCAAGTTGATGGCAGCACAGGGATCCTCCAGACAGTTAACTTTCAGGTCGACCTCCATGGAAATACATGTATATCTGTTAATTGTGTGGAGTACTGTACGTGTGCCACCTCCAATTTAATTGCAATATAGGTGGTACTATGTATTTTTTGCCTATATGCATTCCACTTGTAGATATTGTCATATACTGCATATGCATTATGACATAGGTATTTTTTAGATATCGGTCTTCACCTATAGTGTATAAAGTGTTTATAAAATTAATAATTGATTATGGAATGAATACTTCAGGTACTTTTGAAATACAGGGTGTATTCCTTATGGAAGTTTCTGTCTTTGATAATTTATTAGTCTGTAGTGACTTTAGTAGACTTTATTTGGAACCTACAGATTTTATTGGCCTTTGTGTAATGAGGAGAAGAGTATATATATATATATATGTATATATTTTCTGAAGAGACTTTACATGTTTTTTTTTACCTGTGGGCCCAGATATTTGGATCCTTAATTCATAAAAGGGTCTTGATTACATGTCTGACTCATCGCTGTGAGCTTAGATAGAAATGGTCCTAATTGGGCCTTCCGTGAACCTTGATTAGGTACCCCAAAGTAAAGGCAGGAGCAGGAGTCCCTTTTCTTCGCTGTTGATTTTTGTCCTAGATAGAGACACAGAAAATGGTATCGATTGTTGACAAGGAAATAATTAAATATAGTCATTTTCGAAGCTTTTATGGACCAGTTTGAAAACTGATCTGTCAGTAGTTCAGTATGTTTATGAATGAATGATGTGACATGAGGAGGAATAAAGTCAATATCTCATTTCTTGTCATGTATTGGATGCCCAATCCTTTATAGCCATATATATATATATATATACATGAAACATAAATGCATGTGTTTTTAAAATCGACATGTTTTGATGTAGCAGTACAGAGAAGATAATATGTAGTTTACACAAATGGATGGATAGATGAATAAATGACTGGGAGAAACAGATCAATCAATTAATGGATACTACACTAGGCTTGGATCAGGTTATTGCATTAATTTAGAGCAAACAGAACTACTAGGTACATCAAACTGTCGAAATATCCATAGCTCTCAATAATAATGCACTGAACAAGATATTGCTTTTAACACACGGCTTGGCATGGGTATAAAAGAAGACTATTTAATGGTACGTTACGTAATTGGAGCAGCGACCCTGGAGAGGTACACGTTCCTATACCTCAAATTGTACTGGTACAGCTGTATTGCTCAAGTTTGTTGCTAGAAATTAAAAGTAGCCATTGATTCTTTTAGGCTGACAAACCTCATTTGTAACATCACTTAAATGGAATGACTGAATAAAATGAGATTATGCTGATTGGAGTGCCCATTTTCACCCTTGTAGTTAGCGAAATATCTACTTTTTTTCATTATGCTCACAGATATGTGTCAGTGACACCCTGCACTGACGGTGTTCGTATCGCTAGGTGTTGTTTATGTTACCAGTGGTGGAAACAGTGGTTTACATAACCAAAATGAAATGAACTTAAATTAATATTGCTGCTTATCCAAGGGCATATTGGCAAAATTATATCATGTTACTTTCAGGTTAAGAAACAAAAAAAAAAAAAAAGAATTAACAAAGATTTTTTTTTTGGTTAAATGCTGAAATTTTTTCCACATTTTTTACCAAAAAAAAAAAAAACAACAATTGTGTGTGTGTGTTGTGTGTATCTACGCAGACCAATAGATTCAGTGGGAATTCGCCCTAATTGTATATTTAAACGCTGTATACTGTAATTGGCAGCAGTTGCTTGCTGTTTTGCAGATAAATCTCATAATATTGTATTTTCATTTTTATTCTTTTAGTTTCAAGGCGTGGACTGCTGAGATCAGCAGAAGGATATATGACCTCAGTGTACAAGCAACTGGACTACCAAAACTGAGAAAGGTAAAACAAAATTTTGATTTAAAAAAGAATCATCTCCTTTGTGAAAATTCAGACAGAATAAGGAATGAACTGGCATATAATGAAAAGCTCAATTTTCAGTTTTGAAATGAGCAAAGAGCTTTTTTTTTTTTTTTTGCAAAAATCACATTATTAAATGCTAATAGTCATCTAATGCTCTCATATGACTAAGTGAAATAAATGAACATGAAAATGTATTTCACTTATTTCATTACTATTAATCAAATTTCTCGTATGATTTTTCAGCATGGTAGGCATTAGAACTATATGCTGTATATTATGCCATCCGTTTTACATGTGTGTCCCGTATCCACCAACTGTGCCATTCTCTGCTTTGCAAACACACATGCACATCTTTTAATTCTATTCTTTGTGGCAGCAACTGTCTGTTATTAACTTCATTAGCCATTTCTCAGTGCCAGAAATATAAAGTGGCATCAGAAATAGATTACATGTTGTATCTGATTCTATTGAAATGCGTGCTCGGCCTCGTCGTGCCAATAATGGGAAAAGGAAATGTACTTAATTCTGAAAAACAGGAGTTGGTAATTGAATTATGTGAAAGACTACCTTTGTTTAATATGTTGGTATGGAGAAAAGATCTAGATTTGCCTTAACTTTGTTCAGCTGACTGAGTTATTGGAATAATGATTCTTGGTAATGCTAGTGAACATGATTTTCTGATTAAAAGGTTGCTGGTTTATAATGGAGACAGGTACTGGTGAGATTTTACAAGGAGACATCCTTCAAAGATATCAAATTTTTTTCTAGTCCCCCCCTCCCTTTTTTTGGTCAACTCAATCAACGTAGGGACTGCCAGTATGTGGTGTGACCAAATCTTATCTGTTCATGGCATTCTTTAATGTTTCCATACTTTTTTTTTTAAAAAATTAAATGATTGTATTATATATATGTAATGAAAAAATCCATTTTTGAAATATAAAATTATGGAAAGTTTCAAGAATAAAGCAATTACCATCTGAAAACACTTAAAACCAGTCTTGGGCAATGTGCCACAAATGAGTGCACACGAAATAAAAAATGAACATTTATCGATTGATGCCCTGCGGCTTGAACAAAAGATATCTTACAGCACTGCTCGATTTCTTTTGGTTGTTTTATAAGAAAATAAGCCAGCGTTTTCATTTCCTTTGAAAATGGATATTACCTGTCAATGGGTTTTAGTATGGCCATCTGAAACAACAGCCATTTTTATGATGCATACCTTCAGGTATCTGCACATGTGTGAAGCAAATCAGTTGAACAGTTACTCATTGAGCTTTTATAATTAGGATTCCCCATAGGGGAATACTATTGTTTTTGGTAGTATTATAGTTATTATTATTCTTTCCACGCGTTTTTTTTCGCAAAAAATCTGAAATAATTTACATAGGTAGCCTATGGTAAGAATATGCCACAGACCCAGTTTCAGTGACCTTGACCTACTATTCAAGGTCACAGGGGCTTTTAAAGGCAAAATTTGTAAAATTTGTAATTGCCATTAGGCCTAAAGTATAAGCCATATGGCTATGGGCCTTATGGCCAGAGATACTGAGGTGAATCCACAGATAATGACCTACTTTTATGCAAGTAGGTCAAGGTCAAGGTGGCTAATGGCCAAACGGGCTCAAAAATCTGAAGGCCCAGAGCCCCAATCATAGTGGCAAATGATGCCCTATATATTTATCTAAGGTTAGCCGTACTTTGGTAGCAACTGCTTAATTACTTTTTTTAATATCGATTTTTAAATATTTATGACATTGCAGAAATCTTGAGTTTGGCAATTTCTCCATGAAACACTGGTTTTTGGTCATAGCATGCTATAGTAAACTACCCCAAACATATACCCAAAACCCCCAAATCAAATGTCAAATTTGACCTTGACCCTCATTTTCAAGGTCATTCGGCTATTTCATGGAGAATTATTGACGTGGGCTAAAAGTGATGTTTTGTTGACCCCCCCCCCCCAATTTGCACATGCTCTTTCAGAATATTGGGTCAAATTTAACCCATGACCTTCACATGACCTTGTAAGAGCATTTCCACGCCTATTTTGCAGGGGAATCCTCCGCCACTGGCTTAAGCCAGTTGCAGTCTAGTTCTCATTGCAACAGATTTCTAAGGTGCATCTATAGGAGATAGCTTCACCAAGTGTTTTTAGTTTTTAAGAAAGTTGTCTGGGTGCAATGATGTGCATTAATTAATTCCCCGGGGCTTGGCAGGATTAAGGGTTCAAGTCTAATGGATTTTATGAGTTTTTTTTTTTGTGGTGATGATATTTGTAAATAGCTTCCATTTTGTTCTATAAGCATATGGTTGTTTTCTATTTAGGTCAGTGACTATTATCAGGAAATCTGGGGCCATTGCACATATATTTGTATATATGTATATAATGTTTATGTATGATTATTATTATTATTATTTTTTAATACAGAGTGCATTCGTCATCAAATTTTGATTTTAGAAGTTGTATGTAAAAGAAAGAAGAACTTGACAAATTGGCTAACAAGAAAGCAAAATCAATGCTTAGATTTTTCCATCATGGTAGTATATTCTCTACCAAAATGAAATCATCCCTGGAGAATTTAAAAAGCAATCAAAATCGACTTAACAAAGGCTGTATGTTAAGTTCATTTTTTCATCATCTAAATCAAAATCAATCATCTATATCAGGCCCGTAGCCAGCAAGTTCAAAAGGGGGGGTCTTTTTCTGAAAAAGTGGACCTTTTACAATGAAACTTATGTGTACCTAGATCAAATTTTACCCAAAATGGACCTCTCCCTGACAAAAGGGGCGGTTCTTTCGAACCCCCTGAGCCCCCCCCCCCCCTCCCCCGGCTACGGGTCTGTATATATATATCGGAATGTTGAAGGTAAATCTGTTCATCCAGGCTTTTCGTATATAAAGACAAACAGTCCTCTGTAGTAAATGAAGCAAGAAATTCGGTACTTTTGTAGAATACCCCCTCACCCTGTAACTTTCACTTTCCAAGCAGTTTTTCACAGTTTTTTTTACATTTTCTTGTTCATCTATGTCAAAGCTATTTAAATAAAATGCTTTTGTAATTACCTGTGGTCTTTTTCGAGTTTTAATCAAGTTTAATCCAGCCCATTGAAATACATTGTGAGAATCTACCATGCATCTTGCAGTCAATAACTTTCCGCGTTTTCATTGGCTTACTCTAAGGCTACATGACTTGCCAGACTCAAGTTTTGTACTTATCATCCCTATTATGTGAAAATGATTTCATGTGAACAAGAAGCTAACAAATTTCACAGAGGAAGGCCAAGTATACAATGTATAAATCTGATTATGCCTATGTTAAGAAAGAACATGAATAATAAAAAGGGGCTGAATTTGACTTCAAGTTTTTATTTCCATTGAGAAAACAAAATGTTTTATAATGATGGGACATCACAGAAGCTTTATAATCCTTTTAATATTTACTGAATTTCTTTAAAACAATTTTCAAATGTGTTTTCCCCACTGTCTATAGTACAAGTCAAAACTGAAAGGCATGTAACCTTAGAGTTAGCCAATGAAAATGCGGCAAGTTATTGACTGCAAGATGCATGGTAGATTCTCACATTGTATTTCAATGGGCTGGATTAAACTTGATTAAAACTTGAAAAAGACCACAGGTAATTACAAAAACATTTCATTTAAACAGTTTTGACATAGCTAGATGAACAAGAAAATGTAAAAAACTGTAAAAAACTATTTGAAAAGCGAAAGTTACAGGGTGGGGGGTATACTACAAAAGTACCAGAAATTCACCCTTTTAAATTTAATATAGTCGAGGTGTCTAAGGGGGCATTCAGAATAGTTGATCCAAGTACTAACTGATCCAACAACTTAATATGGCCAACCCTACTTCAGTAGTGATGCCGCTGATTCTCAATGGACTCCTGGCCTCTACACGCACCATTAAATGGAATAAATCTAGGTTTAATTGTTAGGCCCCTGCAGCGATGGCAAGTGTGGAGGTGGGGAGACCATCATGGAATTAGCAGCATCGCTTTTGTAGTGGGTCAGCCATTTATCTGGTGGATCAGTTAGTACTCGGATCATCTATTCTGAATGGGGCATAATAAGCAAAGAAAGGGGAAATGATCCAACTTCAGACAAACAGGATAGAACTTCTCCAGTTCATGTAATAAGATTACATCATCAGCATATCATAAATCACAGTGATCAAGGATATGGATATATAATGGCTGAGATTTCTCAGAAAAAGCTTGAAAATCACTATTTGGAGCCATGAGTAGCAGTTTTAATACTTTGAAATAAGAACAAATTACCTGTCTCATGACATACTACAAATATATATTAGTCTACCACTGTGAGTGATGTAGAAGCTATTTGCCAGATGTCTTTTCCAGCCTGCAGATATGTAGTCCTCTGTGCACAGTAGTGTGATTAACGGGATTCAATCAATAATTCCTGACTTGGCAAAATCTTTGGTCATTAATAAAGTAAACTTTGCCTCACCCCTGAACGTAAGAGCATGCATTGGAGTAATGAAGTTGGATTGAATTTTTATTATTCTATATGAGGTTGGTTGTTGGCTGTATTTCTAGTGGGTAGCATGCTTCATGTAGTGCTGCCCTGAAGGCCTTGTAGAACTTATCACCATTAAAATGTAATGACACATAGTTCATTTTAGTTACTGAGGTGGGACAGCAGAGGGATTAGAATGGTTACCTATGGTTAGACATTGTATTATAGCATGTATACAAGTTAGGCAGTGGGTTGGATAACAGAGAGAACGGATTGGCTGTCATTTGGTTAGAAATTGTACCCGTATGTTGTTGGGCAGGGCAGCACACAGATTAGATTGGCTTTATTCCTATAATTAGGAATTATAATGCATTAGGGATATGTCTCCAGACACCCCATCCCTCCATATACTAGTAGAGCTGTCCATCTCCATGCTTGCATTTTCAGTATTTTATAAGGTTTAATGTCATCTCTGTCTTAT